AAAGTCTTTTTTTGTTTCCCTCCTACCTATATATAAGGATGGCAATTTGAACCCAATTCGACGGGGATTCAATCCCCGACCTTAATTAGAATGGGTTTTTCTCGAAAATTACCCCCCATAGGACTGAGGATGGTATTGAAAATTGAATTCCTGACAATTTTTGGGCCGGGAACGGGGATAGGTTCCCCGACCCCACCCCAAGTAATTCTCCGCATATTCCCCGAATATTCCCTCTATATATATATATATATATATTTGAGTCTACCTCTCTCTCACTCACATTCATTTATCTCAGCTTTCCCTCTCTCTCTTTCTTTGCGCAGCTGCTCCTTACAGCGTTGGCGGCAATCTCCCTTCTCCTCCGCTGTCTTCAGCAAGAGAAAGCTGTTAGGGTCTCTCTTTCTCTCTCTCTCCCCATCACCACCGATCGCCATCGTCCCTCCATCGTCAGAGTTCTATCACTCATCTCTATCGCCGCCGATCACCGTCGTCTCTCTCTCTCTCTGAATGTTTTAGATTTTTTATTTTTTATTTTTTACATTTGAGCTCAGATCTCTTCAATCTGTTGAATATATATGTATATATATATATGTTAAATCTGGTATATGGGTGTGTTGTTGTTGTTGATGATGATGAACAGATATGATTTGGCGATGATGTTGTTGTTGTTGTTGTTGATGAATATATATGCTTAGATCTGTTGTTGAATATATATGATGTGTTTTTTTTTATTTTAGTCGGGAAATTTTCGGAGTCGGGAAAACCCAATCCCCGTTAGGAGGCGGGGTCGGGGATGGGAAAATTTCTACCATTGGGGATCAGGGATGGAGAGTGTGATCCCCGGCCCTACCTCGACCTATTGTCATTCCTACCTGTATATACCCTCCCTTGTTCACTTTTTCTTCACACCAAAAACTTCTTTATTTCTCACTATTACCCTGAGGAAGGTAGTTCGAAGGCTTTTTATCTATACCGCCCACCACTTCTACTACTAAGGTTACAACAAAAAAGAAAGTAATTGGAAGCTTCGTTTATCTATATACCCTCACTACTATTACCATTTGAATGTGTCCCATTTGATGACCCCACCTTCCCAACTCATAAATTCTCTCCTCTTTCTTCAATCATCTTCAAACTCTCTCTCTCTCTCTCTCTCTCTCTCTCTCTCTATATATATATATATATATATACACAACAGAAAACATAAAAAGTGCAACTATATACATATGCATGTACATGGGGAACAAGATTGAGGCCGAGAAGCTGTCAAAGATATCTAATTTAACAGGCAAGAACAAAGTTGTAGTCCCTCCGGTTAGAGGAAGTTTTAAGTGCCACATGTTTACAACTTTTTCCAAGAGTTCGAAGCTCATGAGCTAATACCTCATCAATTCCGTGCCCTGCAACAAAAACCTACGAAGATTGTTATAACCATCTTTTGTCTTCTGTCCCAACCAAATTTATGCAAATTCACACCCATTTGCTTCCTTTCTACAGTTCCAACATATGTAACATATTGTATTCTTAATGTTGTGTTTGATTAAGAAATTTGAAGAGAGATTTAAAAAGAAAAAGAGAAGAGGTATGTGAAATTAGATAAAATTGAAGTATATTTTATTCACATTTCACTAACCTTTTCTATTTCCTTTTCCAAATCACTCTTCAAATCTCTCAACCAAACACAGCGTAAGGAAAATAAGCTCTTGTGAGGGCGAGTCTTTAGTGTAGTTTTTGTTTATAACTTTTATATTGAAATCAACTATTAAGATATCAGAGCAAGGTTGAGAATTTAGTGATTCCGCTTCACCGGCGGACGGCAGCCTCGCCTTGGCCGTCCGCCGGACAAACCCAAAATTTTTCTAATTCTCTTTCTCCTTCCTCAACAAACAGATTCACCCAAACCTCTTGGCTATGGCGGCCGTGTTCATATCATCGATTTCGATGCTTTTGACCCAAGCTCTTATTCAATCCCTCCTGTCCGATCACCGGACGAGGCAATTGCCGTGAGTATTCCTATCTAGGCTTGTTCGAATCGCCTTCCTGTGCTTCCTTCCCTCCTTCGATTCATAAAACAGCTTTCCCCAAAGATAATGGTGTCGATGGATCGTGGGTGTGAAAGAACAGAACCACTCCCTTCGAATCTCAGAAAACCTGTTGTATCTCGGAATCCTCTGTCATCCTTACTACTTGCCGATGATAAAGAAGGATTGCCATGTCAGGATGAAAAAAATCCTGCCTTGAGGACTCCAGAGCATGGCAACAACAACAGGGAGCTCAAGGATGAGGGCAGATTTCTCAAAGCCTGTGGAACCTTACTTGAAACTCCACCAGAACTTCGAGAAGGTTCTGGAAAATTTACAGATCTATCTTGCGATGGAGATTCGGAACCTTCAAAGTTCTATTCTTGGCTACCTAACACATCCATAGAGAAACTTAAGTTGGAGAAGCAACCTGATCAACCTCCGACTCCTATCAATCTTTCCGAAAAACGGGTTCGTCGCCGCTAGCCTTGACTTCTAGATCTACCACCACCGCTGCAAGATTCAGAGCCATCATCATACACACGGACAGCACCCTTTCCGACAAGCATCCCATGACTCTCTCATCTCACCACCCACTTTCTGCATATAATATAACCCACTATGTTTGTCCTCCACATTGGACAACCGCCCAACCTTCTCTCTCTAAAGGCCCACGACACAGCTTTGCACATGCCTTTTCTGATAACATTATTTTTCTTTATTTTTTATTTTTTAATTCCATCCACTCCCTCTCTCTCTCATCCATTTTTCTATCCACTAAACCCACTTTCATCATTTCTCTGATTCCATTACAAGCAACCCACGTGATTCTCTTCTTATTATTTCTTTCTTTTTTATTTTTCTTTCACTTTATTTTTCATCTTTTTTTTCATTAAAAAAGAGGCAGAAGACCAACTGCACACCAACTTATTTTATTCATGTCGGGGCTCACCCCGATCACCATTTTACACCACTTCACAAAAAAAAAACCAACACAAATTGGAACAGTGGGATTTTTCGTCTCTACTCTGCCTGGGATTTTTAGTCTCTACTCTGCCGCCGGTCTCTTCTTCTTGCCTCCGTCCTGCGCGGCCCTTGACGGTGCTGCCTCCGTATTTTCCACGCCACCGAGCACGTTCACTCCTCCATACTCCTCCATTGCCGCATATGGCGGCCCTCCAAATCGGAACATCACGGTGGCCTTCCGCTTCAGCTCCTTGTTTTCTGCCCTTAGCACGCTTATCTCTGCTCGCGCATCCTTATACATGCGTTGGAGCAGAGCCAGCTGGGAGTTTAAATGCTGCACCTCATTTGTCCGGCAAATTTGTGATGGTGATAATTTTGACCTATAAATTAGTTACCTTAGTTGTGTGGTTAGTCCAAATGGCTTCTGTTAGAATTTTCCATCCTTACCTTCACCTACTCCACTACACACTCCACTTCACCTACCTCCACTTCACCACACACTCCACTTCACCTAACCCACTATCACCTCCACTACACCTACTACCACATTTTCTTCTATATATAGATTGTATAGGAATTGTAAACATATCTATCAATTAATCAGTAATACATACATAAATTCTAACAGCTTCTATATGTACTTGTGCCTTGTCC